CATCTCCGGCTGACGGTTCACACAACAGTTCTGATGGATCAACTCCAATAAAAGCCATAGTCTTGACCAGGGAACACAAGGCTATATATCCACAAGAACGTGCGCGCATCCAAAAAGTAAGCATTAGGCAATGAATACCTTTCGAAGCTGATACACAATTTTTGTCTCCATTTCTCATTTTTGTAAGGCAATGAATATCTTATCGTATTACTCTTAAGACTTTCTCTAAAACTTGTTTAGCTTATGATAATTTCTGAACCACTTTGATAAAATAATTAGATAGTGATTCTGAATTTTGGTAGTTTCAAACTGAATGCGTTCCATAATTCCCATCCAGATACAATCTTATGGGAAGCATATTTGCACTTGTAAATACCTGTCAAGTGAAGGTAGATAAAAAGGGGCATGTTGTCTTCAAAACCTACTCACTAGGGAACAGTGGCCAGATCAGTCTGTTATTTCTTTCCTAGTTCAACGCTACTACCAAGATGGACCAAGTAGTTTCCAACTGATTTTTTTGATTAATTGTCTCCAACTGAATTTTTCTTGTTATAAGTTGAACTTAGTGCCACATTCTTCTATTGCTTCTCTGTTATGAGTATGGACCTTCTGCTTATGAAAATCCATGTTCTTGTAGGCTGGGGGATCTGTCAGTTCTAATGGACGACTACAAGCACGCCTTGAAGTTTCCAGAGCTTTCGGAGATCGACAGTTCAAGAAGGTCGTATGCTGAGAGACAATCTTTTCTTTTTCCTTTTTTAGATGACTATAACTTTTTCTGTCTGTTTATCCATTTGCAAGTAATAATGCGTTTTGCTAGGTTGTATAGAGATTTAATTCAGCGTCCTAAGGAAATACATCTGTTAATTATAGCTGCTTCTTTGTTGTTATTTCCTTTCCCCTGAAAGGTCTTCATGTAAAGAGGAAAGGGAGGGATAATTTTGATGGTGCATTTTCAATATATACTGTTTTTTTATCATCAGCCAAATCGTGTTGTCCTAGTGTTTTGGCCTCGTAAATTCTAAATATTTCATGCCTTTGCATCTGACGTCTCATACCTGATATTTGTGTTGTATATATTCTACATAGCCGTCCATGAATTAAGCAGTTTAAAAGAAGTGATCATTTCAGACAGGTGATATTTTCATTTCTGTTACTCTTATCTGTACAACTCATCTTAAACTCTGACTCTTGGATTGATGAAAGTGACCCACATCTACTGATCTACACATATTATATGTAAATGCCTGTGTGCGTATCTAATGCACCATTCACAAGTTTTAGGAATTTCAAATTCATTTAATTGGCAAACTTCCATCGTTTTCATGTAAAAGGAATTCAATATGCAGGTTGGTGTTATCGCAACTCCAGATGTTCATTCGTTTGACCTCACTGAGAGAGACCACTTCATCATTCTTGGCTGTGATGGCTTGTGGGGGGTATCTTTGTTTGTTTGTCTTCTGTCATATTCTTATGTTTATGCATACAACCACAATGCTTTGGGTGCCCTTCCTGGGGATATTATTTTTTCCCTATGATTGTAGGTTTTTGGGCCAAGTGATGCTGTTGATTTTGTTCAGAAGCTACTAAAGGTATGTCATGTTCTCTCCACCTACCCCCTTCTCACTCAGTCACTCTCTTTTTCTCCCTGGAAAGTTCAAGCAGTCTTCAAAAGATTTTAACTTAAGACTGATTTCTGGTAGCTTTGCTTAACCTTTGCATCTCTGATAGGAGGGACTACCTGTGTCAGTTGTGAGTCGCCGCCTTGTGCGAGAGGCAGTCCGTGAGCGTCAATGCAAAGATAACTGCTCCGCTGTTGTAATTGCTTTCAGGAAAAAACAGTAGAACTCCAATATTTGAAGAATCTAGGCAACCAAATTTGGTCTTGCTCTTTAGTTCATGTTCATTATAATTGTGTGTTGTATCTTCATGTCTTCTAGTTTAGTTGCAGATTGTACGGGTTAAGATTTCTTGGCTTTTGACCAAAGCTGTACAATTTGTTGGTAGAATAGGGCAGTCTTAAAAAGCCTTTGCTGCTCAAGACTGTTCTGCATGCAGTATAAAGCTGCTTGTGTTTTAAAAAGTAAACTTGTGCTTCTTCAGTTAAGTAATGGATCAGCTGGTGTGATCAGTTTTCTGTGATCTATGGAGAGGTTGCCATTCTTAATTTTCATGGTCTTTAGTATTATCCTGACTTTTTCAAATTGTTGATGGGAAATAAAAGTGGGAAGTTATACCTCTAGAAATACAAATTGTGAAAACTGTGAAGGAAAATGTCTCTTTTAATTAATTTATTTATTTAATTGCAGAGCGTCTTTTCCCTCTTCCCTTTCACCCCACCTCCCCAAAATGAACTTTTTATCAAGGTTGTACTTAAATATTGCTTGATATGCAGCCGTGACAAATATTTGCTAGAGGAATAATGGAACATGATCTAATTTAGAGCAATTTTGTGCATGACAACAAAATCGTCATATCGTGGGAGTTGTATATATGTTCTGGTAATATTCTCATTCATGAACCGTGAGCCATCTTGGTTAATAGTCTAATGGGCAGTTTCTTCTTTTTCTTCTTCTTCAGTTTTATTTGTTTTGTTTTTGAAATAGTGAAAAGAGATGAGAATATTCTTCTTCTAAGCTTGGGAATCTCTATATAAGACTTACCTAATCTGAAAATTCAATAATATGAATAACATGGGTTGTGTCTCCTGACTCAAGATTCGCTAGGACAAACTATGATTTTCGTTGATTGCCCGTGAAAAGATTCTATCAAAAGGTCTAACGATCCAACGTCTTTGGGGTTGCAAACAAATTATTCATACCTTTTGTTAATTGATTAGTGCATGATTCTGATTGCTCCCCTCTTGGCCTTTGCCAACTGACACACTCCTCCTATAGTGGACGTTAATTTTCAGTTTCAAAACAAAATTCTGATAATAGTCTGATATTGTAAAGTTGGGTTATTTTATTATTGTAAAACAATAGGGAGGACCACGTGGGATCTATGATTCTTCGCTGTTATCTTTTCCTAACACGATTAAGGGTATCCGGCAGCAGATGGGGGGGATTTGTTCCAACGAAATAGTTTTCATATTTCCTTCCACTTGTAAAATATACCAAATCCTAGAGTTTTAACTTCTATAAACAGACAGCATAGAATTTCACATTATTAAATCATTTACTAGTAAAAGTTAATGATATGTAGGCTAACTTTTTAAAATACTGTGGTGGTGTAAAAAAATCATAATATGTAGGCTTGTCTAGCAAAAAATCTTAATAGTAGCAACGATTTTTCCACAGTAAAAAATAAATGGTTGATAGCTTTTCTATGGGTAAGTAAAACGATAACGTCTTTGTGTACCGGTAAAATCGGGGATAAAATTATCCCCGATTCTCCAATGAAGAAAAGAGGGACAGCGTGATTCGATGCTGGCTCGGATAAGGCCGATGGTGTCCACAGATGGGAGCCCGGGGGACGCATGATACGTCGGGAATCTGGCATGGCCAAACATCGGAAGAATCAAGATCGAGCGAAACAAAGAATCGATGTTAAAGGGAAGACGCTTAAAGAGGACGAACGAGGAGCTGAAATATCCGCCATCAACCATATATTACGGCGCGGATCACGCCCGATATTAACTGCGGATCGTGTTTTACTGACTTGTACTAGGGTTGAAACTCCCCTACTATATAAAAAGGAGAATCTTTTCATTTTTTGGGTCACTGTTGGCACGCATGTCAAAACAATTAAGTTTACTTTTGTCTTTTAGCAATTGTTCAAGTGTTTCGGCTATTACCTCATTCAACTGAAACTGAGGGCTCCCGAGGGCTCGACTAGAACCAGTTTCTAGCATTCGAGCCTAACGCCAAGCTTAGTTATTTCTTCATATTTGGTTTGATCGTTTTTACTTTCTTTTAATTCGATCATTTGCAATTTCTTTGATCATTTGTGTTAAATTAAATCACGTATCCTTTAAACCGCGTACAAATTTAATTGTTAGTTATTTTAAGGGTAAACAATCTTAATCCCAAATAAGTCGGGGTTGATTCCTTTAGGGTAAGTGAAAATAAAAATAAAAAGGAAGTTTCTCATTTCTTACTTAAAACTAACTAATGAAAAGATAACTTACAAATTAATAAAAAGGTCCTACAAAATAGCTGCCAAAATTCAAGAAATGTCATAAAATAGGTGTCGGTTTCTCTTATACTATAACTACCAAACCAACATGCATAACCCCCAGTTTGTCTCCCTAACAAAGTCCAAAGTCTCAAGTCAACGAATCATACGAGATTTAGATAAAGCAATCTCACAATATACAGATTTGCATGCAAAGTATAGAGCAACTAAATCAATAAATGCACATTATACATTGAGGGACTTAAATTATTTTGAATCTCATAATAATAATTCTAAATGATCACTTTGCATATGCCAGTGATGTTGTTCTGTTTTCTCCTTCAATTATTCATCAATTTAATTCACTTATTTTTATTAAATGGCATCTTTCACTGCTCTATAGACTTTATATATATATATGGGGACAATTTTTAGTACTTGTAGTACTTGAGGATCTAAGTAAAAAGGAAATTAGAAAAAAAAAATCAAAAGAAATGGAACCAAAAAGTGGCATCCCTTGTATTCCAGGAAAAGTGAAACTTCTTATAGCATTGCTTGTTTTACAGCTTTGTTATGCAGGATTTCACATAGTTTCAAGACTTGCACTCAATATTGGTGTTAGCAAAATTGTGTATCCAGTTTATAGAAACATTATTGCTTTGGTTTTGTTAGGACCCTTTGCTTATTTCTTGGAAAAGTAGGTCTTTGATTACAAAAATAACTCAGCTCTTTTGTCTTTTTTTTCTTTTCCTTTTTTGGTGATTTATAACCTTTTCTGCACTTGTGTTATATGGTTTATACAGGAAAGAAAGACCACCCCTCACATTCTCTCTATTGGTTCAGTTTTTCCTCCTTGCATTAATAGGGTAAGCAAGCGGTTATTGGAGTTATCCCGCTCTATGTTGCTCGGACTCTTCGAAAATATCGCCGGGTACGTGCCGGATCATTCTGGTTAAACCGGGCATTCCTCAGAGCAAGGAAAGATCTTTCAAAAATAGAATCAAGAGAAAGCGCTAGAACCGATGTAAGTAAGATCCGCTACAACTAGAAGTCGATCTGGTACCTTCCTCAGGGTACTCAACAACTAGAGTCATCTCCCTATATTTGGAGGATCCGACACGGTTGCGGCCGCATTTTTTTGAGAGTCCGCGCAACATAGATCCAGCTTCTACTTTTTTCTTTTGAATGTAATTTTTATATACTGACAGTGTTAAAGAGTTTTTAAATTATTAGGTCAATCAAATAATAACTACAGGTAATCGTCCATAACAAGTGGATTAGTAACTTAGAAAATAATGCAGCATAAAAATTCTTTACATTGTCAGTACGTATAGGTTAATTCTTTTCTAAGCTGTATTTTTGCTGATTTATGCAAGTTTTTACTTCACAGGATCACAGCAAACCAAGGATTTTATATCTTAGGTTTGTATTATGCATCCCCAACCTTTGCTTCAGCAATGCAAAACTCAGTTCCTGCTATTACTTTTATTATGGCTTCTATTCTAAGGTATGAAAGAGCCATTAGAATGACACATTTCTATTCATTCATTTAAGATTTTATAGCCATCACATTTAGACTAAAATACAAGCTTGTATATTTCAGGCTAGAAAGAGTACATTTTATGAGGAGAGATGGCATGGCAAAAGTTCTGGGAACCATAGCAAGTGTTGGAGGTGCCACTATTATTACCCTTTACAAAGGCCCTCCACTATTAGGAGGAAGCAATTCTTCTGAAGAAGATATGGTTGCTTCTCATGAGAAAATGTTGAATTGGACATGGGGTTGTGTTTATTTGCTTGGTCATTGTTTATCATGGGCTGGTTGGATGGTGCTTCAGGTATATAACCAGCGATGGAAGAGTTTAACTTCTATATACTGATAGTGTTATATTCTGTCAGGTCAGATAAAACAATAACTGTGCACAATAAGCGTAACTAGTCACCTGAAAAATGAGGCAAACAACCTAATATAATATGTTATGTTACATTGGTAGCGTAAAAATTCTTTATATGGTCTGTGTATATAAGTTAAATCCGTGATGAAATAAATGGGAGCATGATGGTATAATCAAGTTGAATGGAGGGCAGCCCGCTATGCGCGGGGTCCAGGGAAGGGCCGGACCACATGGTCTATCATACGCAGCCTTACCCTGCATTTTTTCAAGAGACTGTTTCCATGCAGCCTTACCCTGCATTTTTGACAAGAGTGGGTTGCTCTAGTGGTAAGCACCATCCACTTCCAACCAAGAGGTTGTGAGTTCGAGTCACCCCAAGAGCAAGGAGGGGAATTCTTGGAGGGAGTGATGCCGAGGGTCTATCGGAAACAGCCTCTTACCCCCAGGGTAGGGGTAAGGTCTGCGTACATACTACCCTACCCAGACCCCACTAGTGTGATTATACTGGGTTGTTGTTGCTGTTTCCACGGCTCGAACACGTGACCTCATAGTATAATCAAGTTGAATGAAACCAAAAAAATACAATAGTTATTAGCAAGATCAAGCAATCTCCACATGACTGCTGGAACTATAACTCTGTTTATAGTCAATTCTGACAACTTATAGCACTCTCATTAGTGACTAATGAAACTTGGTAAATAATGCAGGCTCCTATTGTGAAGCAGTACCCAGCCAAGCTATCACTTACCTCATTTACTTGCTTCTTTGGATTAATTCAATTCTCAGTTATAGCAGCTTTTACAGAAAGGGATCCAACACGTTGGAAGATCCATTCAGGAGAGGAGGTTTATCTGATTTTATATGCTGTAAGACCCTAATCCAAGCTTTTATTCCCTGTTTTCACATTGTCTTAGTTAACCTGAATAGCTAATTATATTGGCTGTAATTGCATTAGGGTATTGTCTCTTCTGGAATAGTATTATCTCTTCAGACTTGGTGCATTCAGAAAGGAGGACCAGTGTATGTTGCCACCTTCCAGCCTGTGCAAACTGTATTAGTTGCTGTCATGGCTTTTGTAGTTCTTGGTGATCAGTTGTACTCAGGAGGGTAAGTCAAGAAATAATGAAAAAAAAATGAACTCTTGCTCATAATTGTCCATAAATTGCCAACTTGCTTAAGGTTAATGAGAACTACCCACTGTAACAGTAAAGTCGCAAAACAATACTATGGGAATAGTATGTAAATTTGTGATTTTACTGTTAATATGGATAAAATCAGTGACAATAACCTGTTTGCTTAGAATATGTAGTCCATGAATCTCAAACTTGTCAAACTACATAATTGCAGGATACTTGGCGGACTTCTGATTGTGGTTGGACTTTACCTAGTGTTATGGGGTAAAAATGAAGAGAAAAGAATTGTCAGCCGACAAACTGAAGAGGCAACATTGACAAAACATCTTCTTGCTTCCAGCAGCAAGGAGGAATCCTCGGTTGGAGCTGATGTTTGCTAACAAAATATGTCAAATACAGTTCACATATACTTTTTTCATTGAAATATTATTTCTTATTTTATGGTTTCTTTCTAAAATTAAAGCTGCAAGGTCAATCAAACCTGGCATGGACACTGCAGCAAGAACATTGGACAGAAACCAAATTTAGTTGAAGTTTAGATTACGAGCCATGAGTACTGAATTGGTCGTTTGGCAGCTTAAAAGCTTTTGACAAAGTGGAGTACTTGTTGGAACTATTGCTCTTTCAAATTATTTGTACAACTATACTTTCATGTAAACCTTGGAGAAGGAAACAGTTAATTGGTGAACTACTGACTTGGGAAGCATTCCCCTCTGTTTCTTTGGGCTTGTGAAATTAAACACAGTGATTGACATGTCACAAGCATCTGTGTTTGTGTTCAGATGATACTAACTAAAATCCTTACTTACAAATTTGAGGAGAAGAAAGAAAATGATTCTCTGGATAGTTCCCTTAAAGCAGAACTACTTTGAAGTCCTCGCCGTTGTTGCAGTTACATTACAATATCAGATAATCTCAAGAGTTAGACTCCATAACAATTCAGAGAAAAACATAACTGTAGTCAAACAACAAATTGTAACATAGATTACTCCCTCCCTTTTATGGGGCAACAGTTGATTGGACAGGTTTGACTAAAACCTAAAGTACTAAATACTGGCGGGGCGGGAGATGGTCAATTGGGCACTAATAGTTTCTAAGAGACTCGAAGTAGTAGATGAAATTTGAAAGTCCTGTTCCTCTAGAGGTATTCTTCCTAAAAAGATCTGCTTCCCCCTAAACAATAGACATTGGCTCTTGAACGCAATAAAATGATCAAACAGTTTGGTGAGATAAGCCAACAATCTAGTCGTCGGGCAGATAGCACTTAGATTGAGCCTAGAGTGGTAGAAAAAAAAGAACGAAACCAAAATAGAGTAGTACATACACAGACAAATCAGCAACTCTCATACTCCTATTTTACAAGCACTCAAGCAGTGACAATATTCGAGAGACCCAGCCAAACCAGGTAGCCCAAACTGACCAATCTTTCTCAACCTCCTTTACTCGCATTTCTTCTATTTGCTCTCTTCGTATATAAGCTTCTGTCACCCTGCCATTACTCATGGCATGCCCACCCCTCTCACCCACCCCACCCCAACCAACAGAATACCCCCGACTCGGGGGATGAACAGAAAAAGGCTTTCATCGTCACTCTTTTTGAGCCCTTACCCTTAACAAAGTTTTGTGATTTTTTGTTGTTCAGTCGTGCAAGAAAAAAGATCATATATAACATTTACTCTACTTTAGGCATTAGAATGAATTAATACTATTTTCCCAGAGGACAGGAGAAAAAGGTAGGTGTGCCTCTAACCAATAGACATCTGATATCACACCAGATCCACAATTTGCCCAAGGGAAAATAAGTAGAGAGTGCATGAGAACATTCGTCAGCACACACAAATGTAAACGAGATAGCAAACTCTTTTGGTGGGTCATAAGACAACAGAGTGCAAGAAGCACGTGGTAAAGAAAAAATTTAAACAGGAAGCGCCATTTGACAACTAATTGGCACATAAATTGCTGGAGGAAAACCAAATACACCAACTAAGGAGCATCTATCTGATTACTAATATTGATAAATGATAGCGATCCACATGTTACATACTGCATCATGTTCCCAACAAAGACATACGAAGAGCAGTCATGCACTCAAAACTAAGATTAAGTGAAATGAAGAACCCCAACAAGTAAAAATTAGCTAAGCAAAACTGAAATTCAAAGTTCAGCATATAATCTGAAATAGAGAAGAACCAGAGAACCACTAATTCTTGAAGCACACAAATCAAAAACAAAAGATATGAGAAAACAATCCTCTAATTTTCCAGTAACTTCACATGACATCACTCTACCTCACCGTAACAATGTCATCAATCTTCAAAATCATCCGCACACATTCAGTGGCCAAGCTAATTGCACTTGTGCTCACCAGCAATGGCTGCACCACATTCTCCTCCAAGATGTTAGTGATCTGTCCCTTCCTCACATTGATCCCCGTGTTGATCTCTCCCTGTGCATGCCTGTTCCTCAACTCAGTCACAATCGCAATTGGGTTCAACCCAGCATTCTCAGCCAAAGTATACGGAATGACTTCGAGAGCTTCAGCAAATGACCTCACACAATACCCTTCCATTCCCTGTAGAACCTTTGCCCATGCACCCAACTGCCTAGAAAGCTCAATCTCAGGTGCCCCTCCACCTGCAATCAAAAACCTCTTGCTCACCAAACATCTCACAACACACAACGCATCATGCAAACTCCTTTCTGCCTCATCAAGGACCAATTGGTTTGACCCACGAACCAGCACTGAAGTGGTCCTGCCCATGTCCTGAATCCCCGTGATCTTCACGATCTTGCCACCATCCCCAAGGGATATCTCTTCAACCAAATCAGCAAATCCGAGTTTCTCGGCCCTGAAATGATCAATATTGGCAATAGGCAGACAATTTAAGGTCTTGGTAATGAACTCAATCTCATCCCTCTCAACATCTTTAATCACCATAATCTTAGCCTTTGCCAAATAATGCAGAGACAATTCAGTCACTGCGTCCCTCAGAATACTCTTCTGAATCAACAAAACGTTACACCCAGTCGCCTTAATCTTCTTAATCATGCCCAAAATATAATTCCTCTCTTCTTTCAAAATCCTATCCATCTGAGTATAATCAGAAACCACTATGCTCTGCTCAATATCAGTTTTTGGAGGTGAAATTTGAAACTGAATCACAGCAATTTTAGCTTTCTCAACACGCGTGAGACCGCCCGAGGCATGACTGACCTTCTTGTCAAAAACTAAACCTTTTACCAACTCTGTATCATCAACAGTACCACCCAATTTCTTAACAATTTTAATATCTCTTAGATCGACGATGTCAGGTTTTGCGGGGTCCACAACAAAAAGCACAGAATCAACAGCTAAAGGAGCTAAAAGAGTAGAGTACTGCGATACTACCTTACTGTTAAGGGCCGTGCTCGCTGATTTCACGAGGGAATCACGGTCAGTGAGCTCAAGTGGAATGGCCATGGCTGTGAGAACCTCAACAGCCTTCGTAGACACCTTGTGTAAGGAATCGGAAATGACAGTCGGGTGAATACCGGCGGAGAGAAGAGAAAGGCACTGTTTGAGCAATGCACCGGCGATAACAACGACGGTGGTGGTTCCGTCTCCGGCGACAACGTCTTGTGACTTGGAAAGCTCAACGAGGAACTTAGCGGCAGGTTGAAGGACCTCCATTTTGTTCAAAATAGTGGCTCCATCGTTGGTGATAATAACTTCTCCGTTTGCTGTAGAGATCATCTTGTCCATTCCTTTAGGGCCGAGACTTGTACGGACGGCGTTGGCTACGGCCTGTGCGGCGGCAATGTTGGCCATGCGGATGTCGTCCTTACGCTTATTGTCGACGAACGTCTCGGTTTTAGATGAAGGAGCGGCGCGGGGCGCCGAAACTGCCGCTGAAGATGCCATTTTCAGATCGAGATTGACGAAAACCTAGATGGAATACTACTGGATCGAGATGATTCAGAGTGAGTGGAAAAATGGGAACTGTGTATCGAAACCCTAGCGAAGTAGAGAGAAGAGAGCGTGGGTTCTGGACAAATTGAAATTTGGGAAGGGGTTTTTGGGCTTTTTACCTTCTAGAGGGTTCCCGATATTTTTCCGTTTTGCTGTTTATCCCCTCCACTTCATTTCTTCTTCTGTTTCTACCCCGATTAATCTATTGATATACAGGTTGTTTGGCTAAGTTTATAAGCTGGTCAAACTAGCTTATAAGCACTTTTCGGCTTATTTATGTATTTGGTAAAGTTAAAAATGCTTATAAGCCAAGTACTTATCTATATTATTATAAAAGCATGAATACAATATCGGTTTACAAAAATAACCTTATGATATTAAGCATAATAACTCATAATAAAAGGACATAACCGGAATTCTAGATATTAGCCTTATAATCCTATTAGTTTTAGGACATAATACTACATGTTAGGAATCCTACATGATTACCTTTAGGAATCCTATTAGTATAATTACTTTCGGACTGTTTAATTCATATAAAATTGAACAAGTAAATATCTTTAGTCATACAATCATATTACTCTTAATATAATTTCATGTGCGGATAAAATCGTAACATTGAAAACATTTACTAATTAATACTAATTCGCATAGGGTTCATATACAAAACAAGATTTCTACCATTGTTATGTTCCATAGTCATATATAAATTTCACGTGGACTAGAATAGATAATTTCCACCGCCGTCTCATACTACCCTATGTAAAGGAGTGCATTGCCTCATTCATTGGAGCACGCACGAACTTGGTAAAATTAAAAAAGACTTCCAAGAAATTGATACTTGCAATTTAACTGGATCGATTACATGAGAATTTAATGTAAGAAATGCACGAACGAATATGAGTTTGCATGTTCTCATCTTCAAGAAGATTTCGGTTAATGCCAGAAATAATGTCATTAGATTTGTATATCTTGGTGCTCAAAAGTATAATCTATCGTGTTCTTCTCTTTTTCTTTGATTGTTCTCTTTAGGTCAATTATGTATCGGTCCAGGGAGTAATTCAAGATTTATTGTTATAGCATAAAGTGATAGACTATTTTTGACCAAAGTATGAACTTAAAAGTTATGATGATAAGTTGGTAACTAATAAAGGTGATACATTTTAAAGTTTGAATTTTTTGTGCCTTATAAACATTATTATAAAAAATATAAAAAAAAGAGGCAACTTTTAGGGAAAAAATATCGGTTTACAAAGATAACCTTATAATATTAAGCATAATAATTCATAATAAAAGGACATAACCGAAATTCTAGATATTATCCTTATAATCCTATTAGTTTTAGAACATAACACTACACGTTAGGAATCCCACATGATTACCTTCAGGAATCCTATTAGTATAATTACTTTCGGGCTATCTAATTCATATAAAATTGAACAAATAAATATCTTTAGTCATGTAATCATTATTACTAATTTAATTTGAAAATATAATATAATGTCCTATTACTAATTTAATTTGAGAATGTATTATATTTTCCCAATTCATTTAATTACCTAATTTTTGAACTACAATACCTTGTATGTTAATTTTTAATATTTAAAATTTTAAAATTAATAAAATTTTGTCTATTAATTTCGAATTAAAAATATATAAGAAGGTTTAATAAAATCAATTTCATAAGAACCCTCCGTATTGGCAATACATTACCATTCCATAATTTCCAATACCAAAAAAATAAAAAAATAATATTA